TTCTCTCTTTCCACCATTAACTACACTCCAAAACACCCTAGAATCGTAGGAATTCTCTTAGGCCTAAGAATCTTCACAAGCAATATTATGTACCCCAGAGTGTTTTTGTCTTTCTCATATGATTGTCTAAATATTTAAATCGATAACTGATTTTGAGGAAGTTGCTGGTTTTACTAGCTTATTTTCCTTGAAGGCTTTCTAAGCCTCCATTCCTCACTGGAAAATGGAGAGTTATACAGAAAGTTGAATCAGTACATGATTTTACAAAAACATGTATATACATGTATTTGAATGTGTCCTAATTATAGGTGCATATTAAAATAAATATTATTCTACTGGTTAAGATAAACCAGATTCTCTAATTTCCTCCCTTTATCTTGCCATGTAGAATGGCGAGAGTCTATTTGACTCGGAGAATTTTCAGAGATTTGACCTTTTCCAGTCAATTTATCTAAAGCAGCGGCAATGATTCCCAATCTCGTTATACCTCAGGTCACTGTCTTATTACTGCATTTATTTCCCTCTTCATACTTATCGCAGTCTTTGTTAATTGTAACTCTGCCTATTTTCGTATTGTCTGTCACCACCATCTTTAGAATAAGAGCTCCATCATGGCAGTGAGCATGTTTCCCTTGTTCAATTTTGTGTCACTGACATGAAGAGCTCTTAACACACTCATCAATCAATATTTGTCAAATGAGCTTTTTTGGCTGTAGACACTACATTTTATTGACTGGAAACAATGCCTTGAGCCAAGCCTGAAGAGAAGAGAAAGTCATAATCTTTACAGTCAGAGTTACTTTCTGTGTCTCTTCAACATGATTCTTCCAACATCACCAAGGAACTTCCTACGTGACTGAAGAAAAGATAGAAAGAAAGTCATCTGCAGAGTTAACACATTTCCCACTGGTGCTTCATATTATCTCCTGATATTCTGAAGATGTCATCACCAGGTCAATGGAACCTCAACATCCTAAGTTATATATAGATATCTGCATACATATGTACATTATATACAAATATTATATAATACAAATTATGCAAAACTAAATTTAGTTTTTATATATTTTATGTGTGCTACATATAATTTACACATGCTTCTGTAAAAGTGTTTGCTAATTCATTTACAAACAAAATAGAAATGTTGAAAATGCCTGTTTTTCCCTACTAAGGGATGTGGAAATAGGGTTGCTTCAAAGGCACATTCTAGCATAGTTTAATAATAATCACACAATCACCACAGACAGGAAAAAATTAATTTATTTGGAAATGCAACTTTGTATATATGTTACTAGTGTATACCAACAATAGTATTACATAATGGACACAAGGATAAATATTTAATAAGTTTGATGCTTCAGGTACTGTAAGTAAAATCCATTTTTAATTACATAAAGTCTTTAAGTTTAAAGTTACCTAGTCAAATTTATCTGCACTGATACCTGCTGTCAGAATTATATGTAAACACATAGACCTCTCAAAGTGATTATATTGTATTCCTCTATGATAATGAGATTCAGCAAAAGCCATGAATGGTAACACTAGCCAATAATTTGATTCAACCAACACAACCAGAAGAAGTCTGTGAAGTCAATAAACCAGTTCCATGCCTTATATACAAAAATAATAGGTGGGTTGAATTTTTACTTTCTGAATCTGTTACATTGATATGTATTCTAGACATTAAATATATTTTGTTGATTGAAGTTTTGCACACTGAGAAAATACAATGTAAATATAGCTGGAAGGTCTTTTCTATTTTTTTCCAAAATTTTCAGGCCTTCTGTTAGGCCAAAGCAACAGTTGACGTAATATTTTCTAATATCTGATACAGCTTTTCAATTGCGTGTGGGTGTATATATACATGAAACACAGATTGTTCAAGGGGAAAAGAAGCCTATGAGAGATAGAAACAAAAGGATATGCCTTTTAAATTGAGTGAGCACACTCTTTAGGACCTACAGTGTCAAAGTTTTGTATTAGGGAATGGCTGTCTACAAAAATTTTTCTGAATTAAGTGCATACCAACTAGAATTACACAATTGGCTTCCCTTTTGCTACTTGAAGCTCCCACCTTAGCGGGTTTCATTCACTTATTGTGGAATTACAGAGACATAGATCTAACTAAATTTGGCTCTTTTACCTCATCCTTTTAAAATTGTCATCTTTCTTCCATCTCCAAATATAATTTTGCAGACCATGACCTTCAATATTACTTCTGCATCATAAATGTAATTTTGACATCTTGTTACATAATGTTCACTTTGAGACCTTAATTCTCATATCTAATGATACCCTGAGGATGACATGTGAGACCTAGAGGGAGTGAAGTCTCATCCCACCTTGTGCTTCTCTATTAACCAGGTAACAGCTATAGTGTTCTTTGTTTTCTGGTCAAGATCACTAATTTATCCTGTGCACAATCTGAAGATCACCTAGTCCAACTGCCTCCCCACTCCACAATTTGTCAAAGAGCTAACATTCAGTCAAGCAAAGTACATTCCAGAAATCACACAGAAAATTGGGCATAGTACTTGAACCAACATTTAAGCATATAAATCAACGATTATCTAGAGAAGCCTGGAGTGATGGGATCATAGAGTTTAGAAACTAAGAACATAGTTGTGCTGATTTTAGAGAGATAAAGTTACTAACTATTCACCTATTCTATTTTCCTTTTGCTTTTGAATGCCAAAAGCCTCCTGCAGATGCTGCACATATTTATTTACAGAGCAACGTGCTTGTGTTAGCTGTTTGTTTCTAAAGTTTTTAAACAGATGACATTAGAACTTCCAATTTTCTCTTTAGCAACCCAAATATATTTAGATTATAAATTGAAAGATATTGGACTTTTAATAATTCAAGCTTTCTAAGTATTATTAAGTTCCATAAAACTATTTTGGATAGGTAAATTTTTTATTTCTTATCTTCTCTAATCTTCACTTCAATATTGGAACAACTAGACATACGCCTTCTTTTGTTTGCATAATTTTTCTTTTTAATGTTTATGTAAATACATAGAAGGGAAAAATGAGTAAAATATATTCAAGAAAGGGTATTAGAATACTAATGTAGCTAATGCTATGCTTGGGAACTATTTCGGAAGAAATAGATTGGTTTAAAAAGAAAGTTATAGAATTTAATCAATCTTAAGAGATCAGCAGCATGCTATTACGGAACTATAACTTTAGAGAACATCTATATAACAATATGATCACCAAAAACTGCAGCATATGCTGCCAAGATTGTGTGCATATTTTAAGTGCAAGTTAGAGGGCTCCACCTTCCCTTTTTGCCTCTGGTCGTCCTGATTATAGCACTCAAAGTATTGCATCTGGGTAATCCTCCATTCCTAGACGAGTTGAGAAATTTGGTCCTGTTGGTGTGACCAAAAGTTCCGAGTGAAATAGCAGAAATTGTATGGTCTTCATGCATATAGGCACAGGCTGGAGAAAGGTTTGGGCTGATATTTGGCTTTGCCCTTTCTTGTTTTGTTACCTACAGTGAATTACCCGAGTTTCTGCACAGTCACTTTGCATTTTTTTGTAAAATGTGAATAATAATGCCTTTCTCACACTTATTTTGGAGATTAAAGATAAATATGAATGTGCAATGCATTCTAATATGCAAAGTGCTATATAAATATAAGATGTTTTCCAGAACTCCAGCAAGTTTCCAGCATCAATGTTGGTATATCCAACACTTCCTACATGACATCTGCTGGAGGCACATGTCTATAAGTGAAAGTTAAATGTATGTGAATTGTACATGAATTTAAATGTGAATTTCTATGTATTTATCAATAGTTATTGATTTCAAGTCTCAAGTCATGTTTTTGAAAACTACATCAAGACTCTATTCATTTGTATAAAATAGTTTGTTTTTTAAAAACAGTTTATCAAGACTTGTATAAAGTAATATCCTTTTGAATAGATACATACATACATACATAGGTAAATCTAGGTATATTTTTAATGTTGAGTTTAAAAAGCAAATCTTTAATTTTTAGTGTGACTTATCTATTAAAAGCCCTGTCTTCTCTATATTCTCTCTACTTAATGAAAAACCCGATTGCAAAACAAGAAGATTGATTAGGGGTAATAAGCTTGGTATTCTAGTAATAAAAATCCTTGCCAAAGTCCAATCTTTACACAATACACTGACTATATTTCAAGGCCAGTTTCTAATCCTATATCTAAAACATGGCAGGTGTTTAATCATTGTAGCAGACGCTGTCTATGCCCTTAGTGAATCTCTTACCCTCACTCCCTTCACCCCTAGGGTTTGCCACTGTAACCCTGAAAGATAACGTGGTGTAAACCTAACTAACGATCCCTGACTGAAGGCTATTTTCTGGCCTAGGAAGCATGCTTTCCTCCAAGCAAGAAAAGACAGAAGTGCCTGAGAGCTAATGCTCCCCAGAGCAACTCTCAAGCAATTATAGATGGGGAACTGATAAATACCCATCTTTCTAGCCCCATTGTTGAGTTCCTGAGCATTGTTCTGCACTGCCTTCCGGTGATCCCCAGAGGAACTGAGATCCAGTTGATGTCACTGGCAAATGGCTTGATAACAAATCTTCATTGGCTTCATTATCTTTCTGAGTAACCTACTATCCTACCAGTGTTTCTTGGGATCCCAACAAAAATTGCATTCAAATCCTTGATTCAGAATTTACTTTGGGGGGAACTCAAATCAAGACAATAATGTTTGATCAGTAAATCAGTTCACATGTACAAAAAAATGTGCACACGTGCAGACAAGAAAGCTTCTGCCTGTCTGTATCAAAATAGGAACCATTTGTCTTTCTTTAACCTGGTTTATAACAACTGTTAGAAATGGAATTCAACTAAGTGTTGTAAGAAGTGAATCATTTATAAATTAAGATGGAATTTACTTATTACTGTACTTTGTCTCCAGAGATTCTTTGAGTGTAAATAACATAGATGAAATCATGGAATATTAAGAATAGCAAAGTAACTGAGAACTCTTTCTCACAGCTATCAGGTTGGCCCATTGAAATAACAGGCAGACCCTGGAGATGTTTCATAAAGCGGGCTTCTGCTAAGGTCTGCTCCGATACCTGCTATGTGATAAAAGTTCCTGACACTTAGCAGGAGTTGACGTCCTGATATTCCACCTGCAAATGGTAGGTCTGCAGGGTACACCAAGCGCTATGATATTCATTCTGGAAATGTAGTGCTGAGCTCAGAGAAGTAAGTGGGGTGTTAATTATTCATGACTAGTCACAAAAAATCATGTCTTATACTCAGTTCTGCCCTGGAATGCAGGATATACAAAGGTAGGTACTCATTGATTCCAGCAGGAGCTATGTGCAAGCTTCCAAAGGAACAATTAGTCCTTCAGTGCCTCATTCAAAGGCTGCTTAGGGGGTTGTTCTCCTTGAGTTAATGGGAGTATGAGTGTTCAATGAATGGAGATTAGCCCCAGAAGACAGGGAAGCAAATTAAACCCTTATTTTGATTTGAATTGGGAGTGAATAAAGTGTTCACTGCTCACTAAACTCAAGTGAAGTTAACACGCAAGAATGAATGGAGACTAACTTCTCTGTGTGGCAAGGATGACCTCAAGGCAGTTAGCACCTGCTAACCTCCAGGGATAGAACTGAGACAGAGGTGGTCATTCATCATACTCTGGGGTGATAAGAATTTTTCAGTAAATGCTGTATCAATGTAGATAAATCTTTCTAGAACCAATAAAAATGCCCTTTGCCTTTTCTATCTTCTATTACAAGTAATTGCTATTCACCTTGTTATGAATATCTTGAAAGTAGTCACAGAGTACTTGGAGTGCCTGGGGGATGGAAAGTTCGAAGGAAAAATGTAGCCATCTATCATTGGCATTCATGAGAAAATTCACATTAGATGTTTGAAAGGCAGGTCCCCAGGAGGCAACTGAGAAATCAGGAACAATATTGTGCCAAAAATACCACTCTGGCCAGGACGTCAGGGAGTTTATGTCGGGTAGAGTGAAGGAAAGCAATTTGGAAAGAAAAGATATATGTGCTTTTCTATATGCATTTAGTTTATTTATATGCGTACATCATCTGAAAAACTAGTATGTTCTGGGAATTGACAAGCAGATTGAGCCTGACGCTTCTAAAATATGTAACTGTGCTTATGTTTCTTTTACTCTAAAACCTCTGAATAACATCTTACAATATGATCAATACTTTCTCAAACTCATATTTTAAAAAAATCTGTTTGCAACCAATAAGTCAAAAATGGGATGTGCTCAAATATCACTTTATATTTGGGAGGTCAAGTTTATGCCATTAGAGTTTACATACAGATTACAAAATATTTTTTCTTTCTAGAGATGCGCCTACTCTGGTGTCATAAAAATCAGTTGTCTCATTGATGACACACCAGAGCTATATGTTTTTTGAAATGTGGGCTGGGTATGGTAGTTCAATCCTGTGATCCCAGCTCTTTGAGAAGCTGAGGCAGGAGAATCATTTGAGATAAGGAATTTGAGAACAGCCTGGGCAACAGAGCGAGACCCTGTTTGGGGCAGGAGGATCATTTGAACCCAGGATTTCAAGATTAGAGTGAGCTGTGATCCCACTACTGCACTTCAGCCTGGATAACACAGGGAAACTCTGTCTAAAAAAAAAAAAAAAGTGAAGATGTAGGTGGATGATATCATCCTTGCTGGGGGTCACTTTACTGCAGAAAGAATTTCACTTCTTTCCCTCTTCTAGAGTGTTTGAATAACAGTCACTTGATGACAGTTAGTTCAGCTTAAACCTGCTTGGTTTTCTTCATTCCCCTTATTTAAAAAAGTCATATGTATCTGTTTTCAAGGAGACTGTACTGAATTCTATCAAGATAACAAGAAGAACAATGAATCAAAATTATTATTGCTTCTGAGAGGCTTTTTCTGTAATATCCCTGAAATACATTTAAGGCACTCGTAAGTAGCAACCAATCACCCACTCATTCACTGAATGAATATTATTTAATGCATCGCTTATATAAGGACACATATACAAGATCCTGAAAAATACACCAAGCAATATGTCGTAAAAGGAGACATGCCACAAGTATTTTATTTATTCATTTATTAAAGATAAATCGATTAGAAGTTGAAAAAGAAAGTGGAAGTACTTTTAAATGAAGGTTTAATGAAAATTTTCATAGAATAAGGTCATTGAATCTTGACAATGATAAAATTAGAGAATTCCAAGGAGATGGACCAACATAAACAAAGATAAGACATTCTTCAAATAACCTGATCTTTTCAATTTGGTTGTTTTGAACTTACTTTTGTAGTAATAATAATAATAGCAGCTAGTAGGTATTGAGTGCAGACTGCCTATAAAATATTGTTCTAAGCAGTTTATATGAATAAACTTATCCTCGCCTTAAATGTGGAAAGTAGCTACCATTATTAGTCCCATTTTACTGATGAGGAAACTAAGGCACAGAAGAGTTAAGTAACCCACACAAATCTTTCACCTAGTGAGAGGCACAGGCCAGATTTAAACACTGGCAGCCTGGCTATATAGCGTGGACTCAGCTGTGACTGCTCTCTCTTGAGGAGCTCATGGAGCCAGTCAGTGACTTTGTTTTCTTTTCCATTTTCCTACAGACACGAGGAGACTGACAAAGTCAATGCTGTCTTGGATATGTGAGCTCAAGGCCAAGCAAAATAAACTCCTAGATTATGTTGGTAGCTATGCTTTAGAATTGGGACTTCTGATTACATCATGCAGGGAAAAAGGATGACTGTTAGGGAAACATGTATTCTCATGTTTTTCTTTCCTTCCTTGAATCCTCTAAATCTGACTGGTCGCCATCAAGACTGAAGCAAAGGCAGTATCTAGAGCAACACCCTGCTGTGGATCTCACTACAGCCCTTCCCTTCCTGGATGTTTTCTCAAAAGTACCTTCACAATCAATCTGCCTCCCGTGCCGTAGGCCAATTAATTTTTTTTTCAGACTAATTCCAAATACATATATCCAGGTAGCTAACAATAATACTGTGCTTCCTGTAAATAATATGGAAAGACCACTTATTGTGAAGTCAAAAGATCTGGGTACAAGGCCCAGATTGACCGTATAACATCGATGTGCTTTTCGTCCATTACTTGAAGTAGTGTTATATTACTTGGAAGTCGGCCTCCTCCTTTTGAGCACAGCGTCTCGACTTTTACACTTGTCTTTATTGAGTTGCCTGCTCTCCCATCTCAATTTGGAAATCTGAGACCAGAGTTGTTGCTCCGTTTACTCAACTAATGTTGCTGATGATAAGTAGTAGGACTGTCACAGAGTCCTTTGAATTCCTGGCCCAGTGTTCTTTCCACTGAGCTAGTTAACCTAAGCCCTTGGGGAAGCTCTGCAGAAGGTACTTTTTCTTCCCTGTAAGTGTGATTTTAGCATCCTGACATAATCCCCTCCACACTGCTATAGCCCATGATACTCTTGCCTAGACCTGGATACAAATTAAGATCATAGTTTTGTCCTAAGTCACCTACGTTTAGAGGGTACAAAATGTAAAACAATGCTTTCAAAAGCATATGAAGAATTTGTCCTCTGTGGTTACAGGAAAGTAGGTTAATCTCCCTGAACCTCAGTTTTGTTTTTTGTTTTTTTTTTCTGGGTAGTTTAAAAAATCAAATGAGACAATTTATTTAAGAAAGCATCTTTCACATTATAAATCAGTTTACAAAAGCAGGGTACTATTTATATAAACATGAATTCCAGATATTAGAAGGTGGCAATACCTGCTGTTAGTAAGAATGCAGGAAGCACACAAGCAGTGTTGAAAAATCTTAAATAATATTTTAATCCCCTGCCCTTGGAGAAATGTATCATGAGGTCAGTGGGTGAGTTTCTTTGCCTACAAATTGTGTCTCCTTTGGATACAATTTGCAAAGGGCTGAGGACTGAGGTTGGACCCCCAGGCCCCATACCACAAAGTATTTCTGCTCAAGAGTCATATATTTTGCAAAAATAACCCACCCTCAACAAAGTAATGCCTGATTTAAGTTTCTGCAATTTCTAAAAGCCAGGGCATCTAAGATACTGAGATGAAATAGCATTCCCTGTTCCCAAATGAGTAACGCTATTTCTCACTCTTTTTTATTTTTATTATTTCAAAATTCTTGCCTCTCTATTGCAGAGAAATTTCCCACAGTTTTGCAGCATCACTATTGACAGGCAACCACATTTTCCTCCCAAGGCGACTCCTATTTCTGTGAGGTCAGAATTGCCAATGGGAGCACATATCAGGGGATGGGTTGATGGAAGAGAAGGCAAAAGGTCCAATTGTCCAGGGGCTGGGGACCATGAACCTTAGCCAACAGGAACAGAATGGAATCAGTGTACATCCTGCTGTCAGTGCTCTGTGATTATTTTCCCCTTTCCTTCTCCTAATGGATACGCTTGGAAGAAGGTGCATTCTTTCTCAGGAGAGAGCTCAGAACTGCACAGTTTTAGTGTATTTATTGTGCTATATATATACACACACACACACACACGAATACACTGTATATACACTACATAAATATTATATATGTTTCAATAATTCTTTTCTAGGTAGGTCAGAAAATTCACATTTCTATGCATTATTAAAAAGAAGTTATGAGGCTGGGTGCAGTGGCTCACACCTATAATCTCAGCACTGTGGGAGGCCGAGGTGGGTGGATCACCTGAGGTCAGGAGTTCAAGATCAGTCTGACCAACACGGTGAAACCCCATCTCTACTAAAAATACAAAAATTAGCTGGGCATGGTGGTGAACGCCGGTAATCCCAGCTACTTGGGAGGCCGAGGCAGGAAAATCACTTGAACCTGGGAGGCGGAGGTTGCAGTGAGCCGCCATTGCACCACTACACTCCAGCCTGGGCGACACAGCGAGACTCTGTCTCAAAATAGAAGAAGTTATGCCATCTTGGGTGGTCAGAGAGTCACTGATTGGCATGAAAGCAGTTAAAATTCACCCAATTTTCCTGACCACTTTTACAAAACAGAGAAAATTTAGTAAGTTAATCTCTTACAGATATCTTGGGCTCTTTGAAATTTAGAGAGCTCTCTTACATCCTTTATTATTTGACCCTAAAAAAATTAGGAGCAGTCTGTGTGGTAGGCAGTATTGTCACAATATTTACAGTGGGCAACCCAAG